CTGGGAGTTGAAGTCCACTCATCTTAAAGTGGCCAAGTTTGGACAACACTGGTTTAGAGTGATTGCTCTGTTCAGTCCTCTGGACAGTATAACTGTATACTTTTCTATGATTTTAGTTTGAAATGGCCATGTTAAGCTTCCATTATTTGTAATGGAAATTTTTTAGAAGTCTACATTGAGAAGAAACCTGTTAGAAAGTATACAAATGATGAATTGTATTACTTTTTGCATGTGCCCTTTGCACATACCATTGTTCATTTTACAGAAGTACCGAAGTACAAAGGAGTAAGCATACCCCTTTTTCGCACAGTCACTAGGTTGATCAGGGTTACTTACGGCATTCTGGCATCATGCATTTCTCAGCTTCTGTGGTTTCTGCTTTGCACATGGACCCATCTGCTGGGGTCATCTTGATCATTCTGTGCCTCTTCTTCATTCCCATCCCACAGCTGGCACTGCATTCATCCCACTCACTCCACTCGGTTACCAGGCAACTGCTAGGAGCTGTCCATAATATATTAGCAAAAGATCAGTCTAGTGACACTCACTTAACTGAGGGTTCACATTTTGCTTTTAGGCTGATTAAGTGTGGCAGGGTGTCAAATACTTACAACATTCTTCATTTACAATGCATTTCTCAGTTTCTTCTGTAGGCACTTTGCACATGGAGCCATCCTCCGGGAACTGCTTCACATATCGCTCTCTTGATCGCATTCCCATGCCACAAGATACACTACAAGGGGACCATGTTATCCACTCAGACATCATGCATGTAGAGCCATCTAAAAAAGCAACAGATCGTTTCCATTTATTCCAAAACCTCACCAATATTTGCTCAACAAACTGTTGATTCTCATGCCCAGGGACTTCTCACCTACCTTCATCACTACAGCCTGGGCCCATACATGGCTGGAAGTCCTGAGTTTCTGGACAAGGCACACTGAGGTCAAGCTGGGCTTTGAGCATTCTCTGCCTCATCCTCTTGCCCTTTTCACATGTGGAAGAGCTACAGGCTGACCAGGGGGACCAATTCGAATAGATGCAAGTTTCAGGGGTATCATCTTAAAACAATGACAAAAAATATATATAAAAGAGTCACTTTTATGTGAGTTGTGTGTGTGTATCTATATATATCTATACACACACACACATACACGCATATCACAGAGTGCATCATTAAGCTATGAAATCTACTGTCCACATATAATAGGCTGGACAACAAGCTGGGTTCTGTCCTACTGTTGCTTTTGCATGCTGTAATGGTATGTGGGAATGACCCTGAGAGGCAAGGGGAAGAGATGCTGCCTAGAGAATGATCAGATAAAAGGGGGAGAAGCCCGCAGCTGAATAGCGGGCACAGAAAGAAACTTAGAAAGGATCTGCCCTGATTTATCAGTCTGTAAAAAGTGATGGTGAGAGATCTGTAATTTCAGACTTGCAAGATTGATGTCAGCCTCCCAGGTAGACCAGATAGGAAATGAGCTAATTACTTTATTGTAAGGCTACATTAACAGAATCTTGCAAGTCTGAAAGTATAAATCTCCCACAGTCTCTTTTTATAGTCTGATAAGTCAAGGTGGTTCCTTTCTAAGTTCCTTTCTGTGTCTGTTATTTAGCTGTGGCTCCTCCCCCTTTTATCTGATCGTTCCCTAGGCAGCATCTCTTCCCCTCACCTCTCAAGGTCATTCTCACATACCATTACACATGCCTTGTGCTTTCTGTTTTTCACAACTCTTTTCTCAATGATGCCATGTTGCTTACACACAATCTCACATTTTACTTATACACTTTTGTATGAATATGAACATTTCCAACTCAACTTTACTGACTGGGTTTGAACCCAATCAGGATAATCCTCCCAAACAGTTTAATGCATTTTTTAAAAGATTACTTCTCTGCTCAATATAATTTAATGGACACACTGGAAACTGAACCAGAGACTTTCTGCCTGCAGAGCAGATGCTCTACCTAGCAGTATAACTATCTGTCTCTACCTTTGCCCTTGCCTAGAGCAAGTCCCCTTTTCTGTGATCTCCAGTTGACTGCTGAAGATACACATCTTTACAAACTAAAGTTTGAAAGAAAGATTGGGAATGGAAAACTAAAAGATATACATGGAGACATATAGAAAGTTACATTGAAGGCTATATACAGAGTCATTCTAAGCTGGCATTCCTTACTAAAATATATTTTATCCGTGAAATGTTTCAGTGGTTTGAGTTTGAACAACTCCTGTTAGAACTTAATGTGAAGCATCCTGCTTGGTCTGGCTTTTGATACATTTTCTTATATTGCTGCCCCATATTCCAAAGAATATCAAAATCAGATTTCTGAGGTGGGATTTCGTGGTATTATGGAAGGCAGTGCTATGTATTTCCCAAGGAATACTGTGAATATCATTTTGCTGTAGAAAAGAAGAATGTGTATGCGTGGAAAAACCACTAATTAAGCATCTGTGTTTACTGTATGTCCAGCCAGTTCACCCTTAACTCTAAAATAGTTTTAAAAACAGGAAGCAAGAAAAGATGCTCACCAATATGCCCCTATCAAACCAATAATTGATGCTGGGTCTGTTTGCATCTTTCCCCATCACCTGCCACCATCTGGATGATCATCTGAGCATTCCCTCAAGCTAGACCACTGTCTTCTCAACCAATTAACTGCAACCTGCTTCAGAACATTCTTTCTGTTACTTTAGGCCTCCAAGCTGCATGTTCTGTTTTAATAAAATCCCAGTCAGAATGTATTGCATTGAAATTATTTGTATCCTGGGCAAACGTCAACCAGGCATCAACGCTATTGATGCTGTCAACTTTTCACTTGGTCCTGAATCCAGAGCTGGCCAACTAAACCTCCCCTTTTGTCTTTAAAAATCAACGGCATTGTCATGTCTTAAGGACCAATGGAAGAGATGAGTATGTATACACTGGTTGCACCATTCCTTCTTTCATTGGAATTCCACACATATGCTTACAAGGGCAGTCTGTCCTTCAGACAAATCCTAATAATTAATAAAGAGGAGCCGTTAGATGAGGAAAATAGTAGAGCTTGATGAAGATCAACCCAGTACAAGATAATAAAGTCAGTGAGATTAGGCTTCTTCTAAATTAGCATAGTGCCACTTTCAATTCCAAAACTTCTGCCTGCTGACACCATCACTGTGGGTGTTTATTAAGTAATGATGCAGGCTCCAACCACAAATGGCTAAGCAAATTGTTTTTTCCCCTCCTGTTTTTAATACTGTCCTAATAATAAGGCAAACAGCATGAAATACAGAGCAGCGGCACTGCAGAGTGAAGTGAAACACAAACTCATGGACATAATTAAATAGTACCTTCGTCTTCTGGAGCTTCTGCTGCAAGATCTGCAACTATATCATCGATGTTATCAGGAACAATATTGCACTGTTCCCCCTGCAAAGAAACATTTGCAAAGAATTCAATTGGCAGAGAAAATAATACAATGCTGGGCACTGGGTTGGAAAATCAATTGCCAGAAGTTGTTCAAACAAGATCAGCATTTACAAGCATTCATGCTTATAAAAGCTGCAGTAGTCATCAGGCCCATGGAAAACTCAAGTCCTAAAGAAGATTCTGTGAAGGTAAATGGCAAGCTTGTTTCTAAATGGTAGGAGAAGGTGTGTTCCCTACCAAAACAAGCTAAGATGCAAACAACATTTTTTTTGCGGGGGGCGGGGAGCAAGTGTTGCTGAAAATAAGTGTTGGGAGGATTGGGGAGATGGAGAGGAGATAATGTCACTTCTAAAAGATGGGTGTTACTAGAAAGCAATGTTAAGAGAGAGGTGGGCCCAAGTTCCTCATTATTTTCTATAATGTCTAGGGAGTCCTGAAACCCTCTACATAGCTAATAAAGGAGTATGCTCCAGGTTTCTGCTGCAAGAAAGATCTCCCTGTGACACACACCATTATTATACTATTAACTTGCTAGAAAATGTTCTTACTAAGTAATGAGCTTGATCTTGCTTTACAAGTTTTGTTGTTGTTGTTATTGGACACTATGCTGCAGAACATTTTCTAGGCTCAGAGCTGCAGTTAGCTTTTGAGTAAGGTTCAATGGGTAAAACCAGGAGAAGAACTAAATTTGATTTAATTTCATTTATCCTTAAATTCAATTAAAATGAAATAAAATTAATTTGATTAGTCTGGGCTTTCATAATTTCACCTTTGCTATCTTGCTTAATTCCAACTTTTGCAGATCCCAGGAAGCTGCTTCCTGTGCTTCTGGGGACCTTAAAGAATCCCCAATCTTTGATTGTGCTTCTCTGCCTTCTGTGCAGTTCAAGCGGGAAGAAGAGGAATTCCCTCTAAGAAATGAGGTTTCTCACATCTCACATCTCTACTGACCTAGCATGCACATTAACCCCATTCCCTTTATTTATTTTCATTGAAAAACAACTGAACTACATTTTTGGTTTTATTACCAGATTTCAGGTTTTTTTATTACTTGATCCCACCCCACCCCCAAATACTTCATGTCAGTTGCTAAGTGGAATTTCATACTGATACCTTTCGTGCAATCCTTTCAATGACAACTCTGGCTACTGACTTAATGGAACCTCCTTCAGGGTCATAAAAGGGACTTTGGGGGTGGTCTAGACTTGTGAGAGGTCTTATCTTCTCTTGAGGTACTGTTGGTTTGTTGGATGACTGCAGTCAAAAAAGAAGCACATATTGACATAGAATATACACCACAATGAAAAACATAGCATACAAACAATTTGCAGCTGAACTGGTCATTGTTTGGACCCAGAATTTAAACACACACACACACACACACACACACACACACACACACACAGTAGGCAAATTGAAAAAATGGGATGTTAACTTAAATGTGCATGACTAACTTAATGCCCATTGATTTGGATTCAACCTAATACATATTATGCTGTCATGATTAGTGGAATTACACTGATTAATATATTGGTATTAACATGCCATAAAGAGAAGGCCAAGAAAAGAGAAGCTAGATTTCCATCCTATCTTATTCTTGATGACTCAGTCCTATGACTTAATTTCTATCATCAGAGTTTGAATACGTGGAAAATTTTTGAGCTCAGAGGAATGGCTGCTGTGATGAGTCTCTCTCAACCATTGCATCTCACCGGCACTCCCCATATCCATGTAGCCATGCAGACATCCAAACAAAACAGTTTGTAGTCACTGCTAATAAAGACCTGAGAATTGGGGGTCAGTTTAGAATCTCACAGCAATGTTCTCCTAAGATCTCACCTAACACCTCAGCTGGTGTTAGCAGCAATGTTAAATACAATCAGAGAATACTCTGGGAAGGAGAAACTTGGAAAGAAAGGTAATGACTGGTAGCTAAAATGGCTGAAATAGACAGCAACTGGCTTTGAACCTGGTTCCAGTAAAACTCAATATGGATTGGTAGACCTGAGTTGGATTAGTCTATAGACAAGTGGGAAGATTGCCAAAAAGAAATGTTTGGGCACTACCTGAAGAAGTGTGCTGAAATGGAACAAGTACCTTTCTATTCACTGCAGAAAGCCCTCAGTGAAGCTGAAAATGGTAATACGTTAGTAACTTAAATAAAGTTGATGTTAACAAGATAAAAAAATTACCTCTCAAGAAAAAAGCCAGCAGACAATAAACTACTAATCGGATTAATGCAAAGATGCTGGCCAGTGTAATTTGAAGCCCTTTCCTGAGATGAGTATATATATGTTAAGTGAATGCATACGTTAAACTTACTGTAGATCATAATATACATACATTTACATGCAGAGTTGATTGGATCTGAAAGCTGGACTTCAGAGAAAAAAAATATTCTTGTGTTTCTGAAACACTACCTGGCGAGGAGGGGTGGAGGTGATGGTGGTGGTGTGAATTTTCTCATTTTGATATGTGAAACATTTAGAGAGGCCTGAAGGCAGGAAAGTAAAACTGCTTGACCGTTCTGATAAAGCTTGGCTGAAATTGCTTCATATTGTCTTTTAAGTGAATAAAACTGGGAGGAAAAAAGCTGGACACTTCTATGGCCCTGCCTCTTACAGTCAGATCCCCTGAACCATGTCCATATCCCATCACAGCCGCATTCCTACTTTACAAGATATCCAGGCTAAGAACAAATCTACTTCAAAACTGAAGAGGGTTTTTTTTGGGGTGTGTGTGTGTTTTTTAATCTCAGAGTAAGTGGAAGTGTCTGACTAACCTTGTCAAGCTTGGATGGGAAACTTCCAAGAAATCCCAGAAGGCAGTGGCAAACTCCTTCTGTACTATCACCAATAAAGTTCCATGGATGTGTTTATGAAGTCACCAGAAGATGAACTTAACTCAGGGGAGAGTTTACTTTTACCTTAAAGGTAAATAAAAATCCATGCAACATTCTAATGCCATTATATTATCGTACACCTAATAAGCTAAAACAAAAAGCCTATATTTAATTATACTACTTATAATAAAAATATAAATAAAAAGAAAATATGTTCAAGTCTGCTGCCCATACATTCATTAGACATGAGTATTTCCCTCCTGATACCAATTCCTTACATATGATGAAAAGACAAAGTTAGCCTATGAATAAATGAAATGTATTCATTTTATGTTCAGCTCTAATAACCCCTTCCAGGAGCTAACAAAACACAAACACATCAATCATGTTATAGAAAACCAACCAACCAACCAACAAAAACCCCAATAAAAATAATTCAATAGCATTTATACCCAATCATCAACAAAAAAGACTCTTCAAATAGTAGAAGCTATTAGAATTAATTTAAGGATGTTATTTTAGAATCACAACAAATTAAGATGAAAAGAACCAAATTCCCTAAAGCCATTGCATTTTTTTCTTCAGTTTTGAGCACAAATCACCATACATTATGAGATCTGAGTATGAATACAACCTAAGGAATCCTTTCTTATTCCCTATCTATACAGCAAGGAGAAAAATACACAGTATATTCAAATGTTCACTTCCTCTGTTCATGCACATTTCTCATTAACTGTTTTCATACTTACATAGGAAAATAAATATTCAGACAGAAATTGAGTATCACAAAAGACTTAGAGCTTATACCTATGATCGTTGTGTACCAGTATTCATAAACAATTTCCAGTTTCCCCAATGATGTCAGGTTGACTAAATCGAAAGACTAAAACACATTCTCATGCTGTGTGTATTTATTACCATTCTTGCTTGTTCTATCTTTCAGCTTGAAACATAAAAAATACAGTTCAAATGAAATGACAACAGTGTCTTGGGGATGGGTGGGAGAGATCAAAATAGGCAAGATGGAGGATGAAGCACCATGAACATGCACATTAAAAAGGGGTGGGGCTTGCATCCCAACATTCTATCCACCACATTGCTGATTCTGCTCTCTCCCTGCTGACCCTGCACTATAGACATGTCCTATATTCTTACCCACACAAACATATACTGGCTATTCTTTTAAATATTCCTCTAAATCTGTTCAAGACATTTGGTCATACATGTAGCCGAGTTCAGCCCATCAGTCATAATGTGTAACATATCAAATGCTTGACAGTTAAGCCTTGCTTATAATAAAATGCCTGTTGGGTTCTTGGTGTTCTCTGAGCTAGGTTGTTTTCCTGCAGATGTTTTGATAACAGGTGTTTTGTTAGGTAACAACATCAGTGCAGTTGGCTGGCTGTTTAGATAGTAGCTTGTCCAACCAGTCTTGATGTTAGGAAAATAAGGCAAACTATCTCATACCAAATAAGAACATTGGTCCTTATAATTTCATATTATTCACAACAAGTGGTAGATTTCAGATAAAGATCTTCTTAGTGCAATATGAATAGTACTTGTACCTTTTGTGTGGAAAATTTGTGTTTTATATATTTTGCCAAATATGAAGTACAGCAATTTGTTTGTGTCTGCAAATGCAAATTAGGCTAAATATAAGTGAAGCTTTGTAGTCCTCTGTTTCTTTATTTAAACCAGTTCTGACCATTTTATTTTATTGATTCTTGCTGATTGAGGGTAAAGGAAACTGTCCTTTCAAAACCTACACAAAATTATCCCAGTATAATTTTATGTTCCACCTGGGGAAAATTAATATTTGTTCCTTTTCATTTTTTCTCCCTTTATTTAGATTAAAATTGATATTCAAGAGCACTAACTGCTATGATCAACAGGAAACAATGAAGAGAATAGGCTCAGCAAACATTTTATTAACACTGCAAAAGATGCTTTCTGAATTAATGTTATAAAAGTACCCTTGCGTGGAGAAAAGCATAATACACATATATTATGTGTGATGCAGAACCTCCAGTTTAATCTGGCTCTAAACTAAATGTAACTAAGTAAAGCAACATAGTAACATGGGGGTAAGCTAACAGAAAAACATGAATCAGGCAAAATCCAATTGGAATCATCAAATTGATTAGAAAAATAAATTCAATTTGATGACTTGAATCAATTCAGAAAACTGATATGATTCAAACTGGAAATTTGAACTGAATGGTTAAATCAAGTCAATGAGATTCATATTTTGTACATGATTCAGAAAATGCACAGAGACATCCAAATCTTCTGGTTCAATGTGATCATCTGAACGGATTTATTTTCTGATTTAACTTTGAAAATCTATTCTCTGCAGCAATTCATTCAAATCACATTTGAACTGAATCTCCAAAGCAAACATAGACACAGCCTTATAACTTGAATCATTGCTTTGCGGTTTACCGTGCAGTTAAACACTATGAATCATTTTGTTCATAACTTGAGGATGGATCTCTGAAGCTACACCCTGCTTTCTTAGACAGGAGAGTAATGCTTTTACTTTGGGTAGTAGTGTTCTGGAAGTGTCCTCTTAGATCCATGGAGGGGGAAGCTTGCCCCACTCCCTCTCAGTGATCATGCTGCAGATTACTGCTTCAAATCAGCAAAATGTACTTTGGGGTGTAGTTTTAAAGAGAGACAGATACATGCACACATCTGGAATATTCACTTCAGGTGGGCCTATATAGCAGGGTTTTTCATACTGGGTTCGGTGGATCCCTAGAGTTCCATGAGAACTTAATGGGGTTATGTGAGAGACTAATGGAGAAAAAAAATCAAATAACTTTAATATATAAATTTGCATAAATAAATTACAGCAAGCACAAGCGTTGTTTTATTGCTAATTTTCTATCACTAAAGCTTTGCTTCTTGATCAGAGGTTCCGGGAATTTTTTTTTTTTTTTTTAACTAGCAGGTTCTGTGATCTGAAAAAGTTCCAATAACCCACCTTATAGTATTGAATTACTCAAAAAAAGCTTCTTTTAAATGGTTGATATTCTTGTTCTATGAAAAACATGCAGCATTTATGTAAACTTCTAGCATTCAGCGTACGCTTGAAAGAAATCTCAGTCCTTTTCTATGCAATTTACATTTACTTTACAAGTAACTGATTCTTTAGCTTGTGCATTTATTACCAGAAGCTAGCAGAATTTATCACCTTGTAAAGCAACAGCTTCTTTTACACAATGGCTACAGCAAACAGGCAGGAGGCAGAAGCATATAATAAAGTGCCCACAGGAAGTAGCTTTTTAAATGCTTTGTCTTGATCAGATCAAAATCACTCACAAGGAAACAGTTTGGGGATGCAAGAAAGTGATTTTCATTTCCAAGGCACTTGACTTGTCCTGCATAATCAACTCAGCAGTACCACAAA